AAGCCAGCATATCTGTATGTTGCATGAGGCTGTCTGTCTTATGTTTATATGATAGTGATCCGTAATTTTGACGATCCCCTATGGATCTCTTCAGCACATATGGAGTTTTTTTGGTTTTAAATTTATAGGGGACTGTCGTTGCCAATACATATGGGTTGAAATACTCTGGCTGGCATTTAATTACTAAACTTAAAATCCGAACAATATGTAAGCATTTTTCTTGATATTTTTATCTTGGTTTAATGACATTATAACATTTAATTATTTGATTAATAATTAAATTGCAATAACTAGAAGTTGTTCAATGTTCAATGTTTGAAATGATATTCATGCAATAGTATTTTTTACGATATCTTTTTGCGATATGACTATTTAATTAAACATATATTTTAAAACAAGACAGAATTAAAGTCATCATTAGCATTTATTATAATAATATAATAATAATTATTATATAAATCTAGTATGAACTATAGCTTCATATTCAACAACACGGTTTTGTGAGCTATGTTGAAAATGGCCCATACTACTGTCAAACAGTAGTTATTTACGTGTATACATGGAAATAAGAAAATTCACGGGACAAGCTAAGAACTGCTTGACTTCGCGCCGAATTCAACTTACTATTATTGGTGTAACGTATTTCTTCTTCAGAACGGGAGTAACCATGTTTGACACTATAGTAGGACCATACCTTCTCCGTGCTGTATGTGAAAAGAGATTTCTGAGTAACATAACAATTTGTGACAGCCTTGAGCAACTTCCGGTTATTGAAAACGAGGTTAGAAAAGAAGCGGGAATTTATTTCATAATCTATCGTTTATTTTTGAATGTTCCTATCATTTTCTCCGGATTATTTTTTGGAGCATGGAGTGATAAGAGAGGTCGAAAAATACCAATGTTAGTCCCGTGTGTTGGAATTATATTGTCAGCAATAATTTATATATGTAGTTTGTACACGGGTTCTCTAGCTGTATGGATTGCCCTTCTTGGAACTTTACCACAATCAGTTTTCGGATGCAGCGGTAATTCAAGTAAAAAAGTACCCAAATATAGTTCTACCGAGAAAGTCCATTTAAATGAAACATCAAGCTTTAGCAAACATAAATATTCCTCGAATTAGCCAAAATCTTGAAATATTACAAATGAAATATGATAATGTTCTGGGTATGTCATTATTTATTTCAATTCATGAATTAAATTATTTACATCTGTTTTGAAAAGTTTACACTTTTTCAATTGCTTTAACTGTTGTTTTTTTCGGGTCACATCGGCTATTTCCGTACTTTGCAAGATTTTATCTGTAATCAAACTTGTCCAAGAGATGTGTCCAAATACAAAGAGGCCACATTTGTTCAATCGACAAAACATTGACAGAAATGTTTAATATTTTTTATGCTTTATCACTCCCAGTACATTACAGGTGTAAAATAATACAACAAACACAATAAGAAAGGAATGACAAGTATTTAATAGCACTTAGGATCGGACAATTCAACATATATAAAAGCTAAAAAGTGATATAGTATCTTCATGCAAACAATATACATTGTATATTTTAAATGAAAAATATTCTCAAATAATTCTGAAAAAAATTATTCTGATAATTTCTGGCAATATAATGTCCAAATTAACATTATGTCACTGCATGGACAAACAATTAATAGAGTAGACTGAACATCTTACAGATGATTTCTAAACGCTGAAAAACTGTTCCTACAAACTGAAAACGAGACAGTACATAAAGAAAAGTTTCTTGATACGTTCCCTAAAAACAAGTGATACACTGGTGTTTACGAGCATATAACGTTAAACTGATTTCTATACATGCAATCAATATTAGAATGCCTGACTTCGGTTCTTGTAATCAAATTTTGGTTACAGCGCAATCCACAGTCGAGTGGCCCTCTATAGACCAGTAATCTCCGTAAACAAACAATCATACAATCAATCATAATATACTTCACAATATACTTTAACTCTCAAAAACACCAGAATATTTTTTTTCTCCCGAAAAGTTTTTGTTCTGAAGAGGTTATCAATTGGGAAATTGAAATAATTGATTTCACTACCCTTTATTGTGTTGATGACTGATTACTGCTTAATTAAGTTGGTACTAGGGGAACGGGCGATGTTGCATCTTTCATATATACATAATAATATCTCATGTACAGACTCAATAAAACAAAATCTGCAGTATTCACATTTTTACTTTGTTTTTCAATGCTCTAGCTCTGGGGATCTCCTCTATTTTCACACTGTTATACTGTATGAAAAAAAAACCTTTCAATTTTTTCTTTAGTCAAAAATATACAAGTTTAATAAAATTCTATACTCCTGATTTTATTTACAATACAAGACATGAAATATATGTATATATGATTAATTGAATATATATATCTGGTATAGATCACAAGTTCACTGTTATATCATGATAGTTAAGATTGTATATATATTCCTTCGTAATAAAACATGTATGTTGAATATAAAACTACCTTATTCAACCTTTTTTTACCCAACAAAAAGCCGTTACTTGTCAAGAATATAGTTTTACAAATACAAAAATTAGCCAATAAAATATATTTTTATAAGAGAGACTATATTATCAAGATTACTGGAAATGAACAAAATAGGCATAAAATACATTTAGAAAGTTGATTACAAATTACCACACATTTTTTTCTGTGTTAGCTTATTTAAATTTCAATTAACGGTAATTGCATGCCAATTATAATACCTGGTTATAGGCTATATGTTGCATGTTATATTAGTACCTCAGAAACTGCAAAAACAGCAAAATTACTGGATGTATGTTTGAAATACACACAACATTGGTATAAATTTACAACTGATAGATTTTTACATCATATAAATATTACAGTGTAATAATAATACCACGAAAACTTCTGGCTGACATAGTAAAGTAATTGCCATAATCTATAACTAAAATTGGGAAATATTTCCTAATTTTATAGAACTATCACAAAATGGCAGTATAGGGGACCTTGTTTTTATGACTAAAGTTATCATACAAGTTAAATACCGGTGCCAATGACATCACATTGATTTAAGTAAAATCAATGAGTTTGGAATAGAATCATCATGTAAATTTACATTGTATATACACTATCACATAAACCACAGCGCAGGAGTGTAATAAAGCCATTTAATAAAAACGATATTAGATTAGTGTAATAACACTTTGACATGACGTCACTTGCATTATTTATAAAGATAACGTCAATGCAGCTAATGTTAGCATTACTCTATAGGCGAATCAATGAAAAAATTATTTTTTCAACAGTTTACCCTTCTTATTCTATATTTGTGATAAATAGAATATTATATTTGTGTAGATTCAATACCAAATTTATTGCACTAGTTGAATAAAACAATATGATGCTCGCCAGAGGCTCGCATAATATGATTTTATTCAGCTTGTTCAATAATTTAGTATTGAACCTACACTCATTCAATATCCTCTAAGTATATCCAGTAACACAGGAATAAGAAATTAACACAAGAATCGTGCAAAAGTAAAAACTGTGCAAACCAGGACCTATGTCAAACAAGTAACAGGACCTATGTCTGAAACATGTAACATAGTAAGTAAATACTTTATAGAAAACCAAATTAAAGGTAATGAATAAGCGCATACAGCTGACATGACAGTCTACTTTTACCAGCAAAGAAAAATGTATAAATTCCTACGTCACTGGATATACACTGTGATACAAGAATGAAATTAATGACAGAATAACAGATTAATGATAGCACTATTACACGAACATCATGAACAATAACAAAACCAATAAAATAATGCCAACAGGTTTTTCTCAACAATCCAGAAAAATGACCATTGGTTTACAATATTCAAAAGATTTTTTCCTAAATATTTTTCATTCTTTATGAATCTTGAAAACATATCTTTTCAAACAATTACTACACAGGCTGTGACATGATTGAATTATGGAATTGTAACAAATGTGGAAAATAATTCATACATACTCAAAACATTATAATCAACAGATATACAGTATGCATATATAATGATAGAAATAGCCACTAATACTCATGCACCAGCCAATTTAGATCAAAGTCCCCGCTATTCCCTTGCGGTTGGGGAGCCAGGTTTACAGCTGACTAGTTTCATCACGGGACAAAGGCTGAATATAATAATGTTTGATCTTAAAAATTAATACTAAACCACAATACAGTACAGTCAATGCATCTTAAAGTACAATCAGTTAAAAAAGAAATTTTGGTAAGGAATTCTACGAATAAATATAAACAAATATTAACAAAAATAAAATAACAAAAGAATAATAATATTTGATGTAAGTTATAACTCAAAGCATGCATAGAGAATAAATTAAACAAAATAATTTATGCTAAAACATGAAAAAAAAATCCGGCTGGAGAACACAAAATCCAAAAATACATACAACACTCTTTAAGTTTTAAATAACTTGTTGTTAATGAGTATTTATGTAATGAGATAATGCTAACATCATACAAAACAAAAATCTAATACAATTTCATACATACATGTTCATAAGAAACTCACCCTGTTGCAAGAAAAATGTGCCACACATATTACCTAAAAATGTAGCAAAAGTCAAGATATTTTACAGACTATTTTTCAACATTGTGATGACATTATTTGGTGATTGCATGGCTAATTATGTACAAATTTAACCATAGAGGAACAACTTGACTCTTTCAACCAATAAGAAGCAATTTGGATCTAATTTTAAACGAATTTACCAATAAGAAGCAATTTGGATTTAATTTTAAACATTTTCAACCAATGAGAAGCAACTTGAATCTAATTATAAATAATTTCAACCAATGAGAGACTACTTTTCTCTAATCATAAACAGGTTTAACCAATGGGAAACAACTTAAGTTCAACCAATGAGAAACAACTTTAGTCTAGTCATAAACAAGTTCAACCTAGTTCAGAAACAAGTAAAATCTAATTATAGCTCATGTTATTATATATATCACAGTTTTCTAAGCACTTTGTTGCATGTCTTTTTGTTTTAATTTTAGGAATCAACACCAGGAACAAGATCTGCTCTGTCACCAGACAAGTCTGTCATCTCTCTATTCCTCTGAAATAGATTAAATAAAAATATGTCAGTAATAAATTATGTTAAATGTTCTTCAAAAAAATACATATGCAACAAGAAAGCAAATATTTAAGTCTTACAAATATCGAATAACATAAAGAAGAGGATGTCTGATGTTCAACAGCTACACAAATGCTGCTCAACCGTAAAGTCCAGTATAATTAAAGTCATCAATGCCGCGTAACCATCATATGCAAATAATATACTGGTGAAGTAAATGATATTTAAATCGAGAAATACACCATAAAGGTAACAACTATTTTTCATGTATATTTATGAAATCATACAAATAAATAGGCGCGCCTCACACTGTGATAGACTGTGAGTGATAAAGATAAAATTTCATGGATAAAACCTTGTATTTTTCTAGTTAGCATAAAATAAAACATATACAGTATTTAATATTGAAAGCAAAAGTGACCATGTTACTCATATTTATATAAGAAGTATATTCTGGTAGAGTCTTGAATGTCATTAAATACAACTTTTATCAATCACCATACTATCTTGAAATACTACTGAGAATATCTTTCCATAATTTATCAAAATCTCATTTGCTGTATTTGGTCAAATTAATATTTTTTGTTAACTTAACATTCCTTTGATATTGACTATTGTGACAAGTACATGTACAGTATATGGCTTAAACTCTTATTTCAATGACTTGTGCTTTCAAACCAAATGAACAGATTAAGTAGAAATTGTAGACTATAATTCTAAATAGATATGTAACAAGTTTTTGTATTAAAATCGTGTTAAAAACAATCAAAGGACTAGGAAACTATCTCAATTTTAACTTAGCAGAAGGTAACAAAATGAGAGAAAAATCAATTATCAAATCAAACATATTCAAGAAATATAAAAAACATGTTCACAAACAAAATTTGACAAATGATAACTTCAAAAATGAACAGTCAACAGACATACCATGTAGGTGCCAAATTTTAGAAACTTCAAAAAAAATTTGCAACAAATCTCATTATAAAGTAACATTAATGTCATTAAATTGATTAACAAGAGCTGTCAGTAGGACAATGCCCTGGGGTATACTCAGTGCTCTGATAGTTAAATAATAGCCAGGATAATGTAGGGATTGACAAAGAGAAAGATTCAATTGGCCTTTGATAGTAACCTTCTATTATGATCTCATATAAGTGTTTTAAAGCTGCATGCCTCTAGATGACCCAAAATATTTCAAGAAAATTAAACTTTGAAAAACCATACTAAAACTTTGAGAAAAGTAAACAAATTAAAGATTCAAGTGATAATTTATATCTTATGTGCAATTAATGACTGTATTTTGTAGTATTTATCACCATATTGCTATTTATGCATATTTTGACCTCCTTGTGGTAATTTGCGTGAATTTTAAGTGCCAATTGTAATGTTTCAAGTACTTTCTTTGTTCATTTCACAATACTTTACCTTTGTATACATTTTCAAAATTTTCATGAAAATTAGGATGAATCTGGAGGCGTGCTGCTTTAAATTACAAGCAAATATCTAAGATGTTCATGAAAAATAATCTTGTATACAAGAATTTGAACACAAAAATTTAATCAAGGTCTGTACTATTCCCTATAGTACAAAATAATTATTTTTATGTTTTCCCCTATAACTGACAATTGGTTTTGTACAGATTGAAAGATGTAGAAGTACATTTCATATTAAAAATTATTTAGCAAGGTAAGGGTTAAAAACACATAACAATAAAAAATAAATCATCTAAATCATTGTAAGCAAAACAAAAGTATTAAATATGATCATGTACATACATGCCATATCCCCCGCCGGGGGACAAAAACCCCCGATTTTCGACCATGTCTCCCGATCTCCCGCCGTGGGATCGAAATCCCCTGATTTTCAAAAATTCAACCAACAAAAAAATTAAAGCATCACTTTTACCAATAAACATAATTAAATAATAGACTTAAACAACTTTTACAACTATATATGCCTGAAGTAATATTTCCCCATTAAACAGCAGGGGTCTAACGTATAATTGTATTGTTAGTTACTCCGACACACTTCAGCTGTCAAGGAATAACAAATTCTCCTTTGATAAACCTGTCAATCAGTGTCAGTATTGCAGGTGCTTAACCAATGACAGCGTCCGATACTGAATGTGTGACGTATCAATTTTTGTTGGGCTATGCAACCCCGCCTTGAGTTTGTTGTCGGCATTGGGTCTTTGAAGTTGATAAGTGCAGATAAAACAAGCAAATTCGTTGAATTTATATCCCCCGCCGAGTACTGGTTATTATTAACACAACAACTGAAGACATAAGGCTATGCAACAGACCGGAACCATTTGATCAACTTTGGCAGGGGACCACCCTAGGATCATTCCTGTAAAGTTTGGTTGCTGTGCAGTCATTTGTTTCTGAGGAGATGTTGTTTAAAGAAATTGCTGATGACGCATGACAACGGACGGTGGGGGATCACAATAGCTCACCTAGATGTAAAAACATCTTAATCTCCAGACTTCATTATTCGTAATTTAGTGATGTTGATCATTATTCCTGTAAAGTTGGTCGATTCTAACTCAAGCACTCAAGGATCAAATAACAACATAATGAAACAGTTTTTACTAAGCCAAGGGAAATAACTCTACAAATACTGGATAAATCCACAAGCGAAACCCCAGGAACAAACTAAATATGCTGAGCAACTTTCCAATGAGGTTAAATGACTCTATGTCAAATCCTTTTTGAGTTACATGCCACACATGTTGAAAATTGCATACATTTTCTAAGTCAAGGGCAATAACTCTAAAAATACTAAATAAATCCAGACGAAAATACCCAGTTGCACAACTACACATGCTGATCAACATTCCTGTAAAGTATCATGACTTTAGGTCAAATACTTTTTGAGTTACATGTGACACAAGTTGAAAATTGCAAAATTTTACTAAGTCAAGGGCAATAACTCTAAAAATAGTAAAAATATCCGGACGAAAATACCCAGGTGCACAACTACACATACTGATCAAACATTCCTGTAAAGTTTTATGACTCTAGGTCAAACACTTTTTGAGTTACATGCGACAGAAGTTGAAAATTACAAAATTTTACTAAATCAAGGGCAATAACTCTAAAAATGCTAAAAATATCCAGATAAAAATACCCAGGTGCACAACTACACATACTGATCAACATTCCTGTAAAGTTTCATGACTCTAGGTCAAATACTTTTTGAGTTACATGCGACACAAATTGAAAATTACAAAATTTTACTAAGTCAAGGGCAGTAACTCTAAAAATACTAAAAATATCCAGAAGAAAATACCCAGGTGCACAACTTCACATGCTGATGAACATTCCCATAAAGTTTCGTTGAATTCCAGCCATTAGTTGCAGAGAACTACTCCGGAAACGAAATTAGGACGTTTTACTAAGTCAAGGGCAATAACTCTAAAAACACTAAAAATATCCAGACGAAAATACCCAGGTGCACAACTTCACATGCTGATCAACATTCCCATAAAGTTTCGTTGAATTCCAGCCATTAGTTGCAGAGAACTACTCCGGAAACGAAATTCGGACGGACGGATGGACGGACGGACGGACAACGCCAAAACTATATCCCCCTCCCGATTCCATCGGCGGGGGATAAAAATAATGATCAGGCAATAGAATCTCAAAGAATCACAGATTAGCAATGTTTGAAACTATTATTTTTTATGTAACTATGATCTATGTTGTTGCAAAAATAATACTAGAAATGTGTCATCATGCCACGGATGCCCCCGCATGCAGCCAAAATTTCAGATGGTGCATTAATTATTTTTTTTCATTTTAAGTTCAAAGCCCTTAAAACTTTAAAATGTTAACACAAACCATTTTCATACAATGTTCAAGACACTGAAATTATTCAGTCTTAACCTTTTAAAAATAACATATTTCATATTTGTAGCCAAAATAATGGCTAAAAGTATGAGTGCTGAAACTGAAAGTACAAAATTTTTCCAACATTCAGGAAAGATAAGTTTGTCTAAAATCATTGAACCACAACCAAATTCATACTTAAACTGCTTATTCCTAAGATGTATCTATATTATTTTCAAAGTGAAAGGGACATAACTCTGCAAAAAAAATCATCAAACCATGACCAAATTTCAACTTGACCTGCCCATTCCTTTGACATATCCATATGTCAAATATAAGTTGAATATGTAACACTGTTGGGTAGATAATGAACAGAAACTGTAAATTTCATATTATTTTCAAAGTGAAAGGGGCATAACTCTGCCAAAAATCATAGAACCATGACCAAATTCCAACTTGGCCTGGGCATTCCAAAAACATATCCATATGTCAAATTTGAGTTGAATGTGTTGTACTGTTGGGGAGATAATAAACGGAAACTGAAAATTTCATATTACTTTCAAAGTGAAAGGGGCATAACTCTGTCAAAAATCATTGAACCATGACCAAATTTGAACATGACCGGTGCATTCTTTTGACGCATCCATATGTCAAGTTTGAGTTGAATGTGTTGTACCGTTGGGGAGATAATGAACGGAAACTGAAAATTTCACATTATTTTCAAAGTAAAAGGGGCATAACTCTGCCAAAAATCATCGAACCATTACCAAATTCGAACTTGGCCTGTATTTTCTAATGACATATCCATATGTCAAGTTTGAGTTGAAATTGTTGTACCGTTGAGGATAATAAACGGAAACTGAAAAATTTCATATTATTTTCAAAGTAAAAGGGCATAACTCTGCCAAAAATCATCAGAACCATGACCAAATTCGAACTTGACCTGTATTTTGTCATGACATATCCATATGTCAAGTTGAGTTGAATGTGTTGTACCGTTGGGGAGATAATGAACGGAAACTGAAAATTCACATTAATTTCAAAGTAAAAGGGCATAACTCTGCAAAAAATCATAGAACCATGACCAAAATTCCAACTTGGCCTGTATTTCTAATGACATATCCATATGTCAAGTTTGAGTTGAATGTGTTT